CCAGAGAATTGCCCTTGATCATGTGTGCACTTCATACGAGTCTCTTTCTGCTCTTGTTGACGACATATAAGATCATCTACTTCCGTTAGCGCAACAGAACCAGCGGCAATCAACTACTAGACTTGTAACTGTACCTGGTTTACCACAACTCAGCATATAGTATCAGAGGGTCACTTCGCTCTCAACTCTCAAGTGGGAATGGAGAATGGAATGAGAAACTACAAGATATGGTGCAACTCCAACGGAATCATTCTTGTTCCCTTCCACACCGAGGTCTGATAGAAGCCGGTAACTCACCTAGTGCTCTTTACTTATCTTCTATTCAATAAGAAAATAAGGTACTCCGACCCTCCATCTAAGAATTCAACCCGGAATTAGGAATTCGCCTCCACCCTCTGGGCCCACCCTATCAAGTCTAGTGCTCTATCCTTCAATTCAGAGTTTTGAGATCCCAATTCGATTCTCACTTTATCATCAACAGTATAAGAAGCTTCTATTGTTTAAGTATCCAAGAGTAACGGGAACCTAATAAAGGAGTGGAAGGGGCAAGTACCAATACGGCGAATTCAAGCATGGCGCGGGAGAGTGCAAGCAAAGTATAGGTCTCGTGAAACATAGGCATTGAAGCAACTACTAAGGAATCCCAATAAGTAGTTAAGGCATGAAAGCAAGGCAGGGCATACTAATAGGTATGATTTCGAATATAGGGAGCAAGTCCAATCCCTATAGTGAAATACCGAATTCAAGCAAGGATCAGCAGTCGAAGAGTTCAAGCAGAGATACAGCTTGGAACAGGGTAGTGAGACTCAAAGTCAGCAAAGACAGGCTCGGTGCCCAGCCCAGGGTTCGAAGGCTTAAGTTTCCGTTTTCAAGTAACACTTCTGTAAAGGCGTGGAATACCTTTAGTGAGTCGCGGAAGAGTTAGCCAGGAAAGTCCGCTTCGTAGGCGTTAGATAGTAGTCCAATCTCAGTGGGCAGTGTTGCAGCCTTGCTAGTCAAAGTTCGAGCCTTATCGTTACTATTTGAGTATTCTTATAGTGGTAAGGCAAACTCCTATTTCCAAGTTCTCGTACTAGAAGCAGTAGTTCTCATTCTGATAGTAGTAAGTGCAAATCTAAGAGGTGTCAAACTCCTTTAGTTGTAGTTGTCTATCGGGCAGTGTTTCATCCTAATAAGTAGCAGCAGCATTCCTAGAAGCACTAGTTTGGGAGTGGGATAGAGCAACAGGAGACTCGGGGACAAGGTCTAAGATGCGTGGTTTCACTCTATAGTTATTAGGGCAGTATCGGATTCTATTAGTATTAGGTGGAATCCCTTGGTTCGAGTATAAGTCCTAGTTCCGAGGTTAACGCTTATGAGCTGTAGTATCAGCCTTTCTATTACTTGTTTGATTCTCGTATAAGTAGATGGGCGTCCGGTGCTATAGATCTCTCGCTCAATTCCATATACGCTCAATTCAATATAATAAGAGAAAGTGTTCTTGGGGTTTCTAGTTTGAAAGCAAAGGTAGTAAGCCTCGGAAGTAGTAGTCCTAGAATAAAAGCGAGTAAAGACATGTCGTAGTCCTAGAATAAAAGCGAGTAAAGACATACTCATAGGCTGTAAAGCGAGACCGGTAGTTTTGGGTTGTGGGTACAGACTTTAGATCAGTAATACATATTCGGTTTAGATTACCGCCGCAGCTATAAGCTCATAAGTAGGTCAGTAACTAAAGAATTAAGGTAAGCCGGGGCAGGCTAACTGGCATTTGTTGAAGAATAAGGTGCTGAAAGCCCAACAAAAGCAGACTTCAAACAACGAGTTAAAGAATGATAGAAGGGTAGTCAAGTTTGGGTGCTAGGAGATCCGGATCAGTGGGGGTTAGTTTCAAGAATAACAGACTAGATATAAGATTGGAAGAGGCATAGCGGGCTCAGAGGAAGTGAAGCAAGGCTTAACTCAAGGGGAGGTGGACGGAAGCTAACAAGTAAGAGCCAAAGTCCAGTGCTTTAGAATCAAAAGCCGTAAAGCAAGGTTTGGTTCCTCGGAGTGGTAGTCCCATCTTATATAGTAGGAAGCGTTCCCAGCAGCTGAGTGTAATTAACAACTAAGTAGGGCTTGGGCAGCTGAGTGGAATTCCCGTTTTCCAGTTAAAGTATCGTTTGCATTGGTTACAGCCTGATTAGTAGTGGGTTTCAATCTTGCTAGCAGTGATTTCATTCCATGTTTCTTGTTGCATTCCAGTTGTGTTCTAGGCCTTGCCTAGTAGCTTGCCGTCTTGTCTGCTGGGCCTGGATTGAAAGCTTTATAAAAGCCCGGGTAGAGTGTCCAAACTCCGTTTCAAGGTATGGCTTTTTTCTATCATCCCCAGGAAGCCCCGGTCTTACCTCCTCTCCTCCAAAGTTCCTTTCCTGGTCTTACCTCCTCCAAAGTTCCTTTCGTTAAAGGTGAAAAAACAAAGGGAGAAGGCAACCCTGAGGTAAGTAAGATTGTTCACATCCTGGATCTCCTATCATGAGTTAAGGTAAGATTGTTCACATCCTGGATCTCCTATCAGTTGATGGGTAGGTATGAAACCTATTGCAATGGAATTGCCTAGCTTAGAGCTTTCTCTTTCTAACAGCTGACCTTCCAATTGATTGACTGGTATCGGGAAAGTCAGATGAGAGCTAGATCACATCTCTGGCTCAGTAAAGGAAACTTCCTTTTCGTCGACAGCTTGCAGTTTCCGGACTAGCCTTCCTTTCCTTACGTCTACTTCCCTGTTAATTCAATATCTTTCTCTTTCCCTTAGTCTGAGGGGAGCCTATTCTTCTTCACGTGATAATACCCCGAAAATCCATCCCTTATAGTTCATGCGCTGCCTATGCAGTTCATATTCGGCTCTTTTAAAGGTAGCAAAGGTCGCAAGTTGCTAGCGAAGGAAATTCGGACACCTCCTGCCCAGAGGTAGGCATCTATAGAAAATGCAGCAAAGGCTTGAAGCAGGGCCTTCAACGGAAACAGGTCTGGGCTCGGTCTGATTAGGCCTCTGCAGGAACTGCGCTCTCTATTAATAGTATCAAATACTTCTTTCACTTGACAAATGTAAGATCGCATGAAACTAGGCCCGTTGTCCCTCTTAACACCAACAGCATCTCCTTTCTTTCGTAAAAACCGGGGCTCAAAAGAATACCTTTCCGGGTTTCACTTTTTTGAGAAAGGAAGTGTTGCTTCTCCTAACGGTAGCGAAGTGAGCTTAGGAGAAGCTATGAAATAGGTAGAGTCACAATTGCTTCGCTAGCTCTTATAGAATATAGCAGGGAATGTATTATTTATAAGTTCACAGATTCAGAAGAAGAAATGCCTTGTTGTCGGACTAGGAAAAAGCGCAGTCAGCGTTGTCGGACTAGGAAAAAGCACAGTCAGCTATTGGAGGAAAGCGACTATTTCTCTTTCGAGAAGGGGGAAAGTTTCGTAGCCAAGTGAAAGAAACGCCAATTTGTCCTACTCTTTCTTAAGCGCTTTGAAGTCGGCCGCTGTTAGAGAAGATCCGGTCTTTGCAGATCCCTTTGGTGGACTATGACTCTGGATTTGATAGCTAGTTCTTTGTCTTTGATCGGAGGGAACAACTAGTATAGTTAGTGCTTACCTTTGCTTTGGGTGATTATTCTACATTAATGGCTTTATTGAATGGGACGAAGGGATAGGGGGGATTCGGACTGTTCTTAGCCTAACTAAGGTCGTTAGGTTTCCGAGTTGATACCTATGACTCGTGTGCTTATGCCTCGATTTGCTATGTAGCACGTGATGCGCTTTCGATTGACTTCGTGTCGAGATCGCTAAGCTAACCTAGTCCTATGGTATGGTGAATAGGGTCATTAGGTTCGTTTTATTCCCTAGCAGAGTTCCTAGACCGATCGAAGTAAAAGGAAGCCTCCCAACGTCTACTTCTTTTGTCCTAGAATCTGGGGTAGGTAAGACATGGCATGATTTTCAATCTAAAGGTGTTTACGAATAAAGTGGGCTTTCCAGAATTGCTTTCGGGTCGGAAATAGAAGATTGGAATTCGGCTTGCTTTCCACTTTCTATGTTTCGCTCTGCTCGTACCCTCCCGTCGCCTGTCTACTAAACTCTTAGACCCTAATCTATTTGAGTTTGCAGTTTCTTGGACATGAATGAACCCGAACAGACGTACCCGCTGCTTCTGCTTTCTGCCATAGAGGGGGTTCCGTTTCAGAATTGGATTACCTTACGAAATTCTCTATTCTATTCTTTCTCTTCAGAAGTTCCGTTTACGTAGAGTCGGTCAGCCCAGCCCATTCGCTTCTTTTGAAGTGGAATTCATTCCTTACGGTGTTACCATCTCGTTCCGAAGCCAAGCCGCTTTTCCATTGAGCAACCACGCGCCTATAATCAATCAGAGAATTGGATTACTATCTACATTCAATTCAAATGAGATGCTGCTGCTCTTCGTTCTTTGCTTCCCGCTGCTAACATTTCCTTGGCTGAAAGCCGCCGATAGACACGGATATTATTAAGAGTGTTTAGCTGGCCTCGTTCCTTCAATCACATAAGATTACATGCCGAGATCTTTTTCTCCCGTTCGCCCCACTGCTTTCGCTTGCCTTGAAAGGGCCGGAAAAGATATATCCTACTAGAATAGTAGATAAGCGGGATAGCACTCTGCTCTCTCTATTGGGGAAGCAGCATAACTCTGTAGCTTCGGGCCATTTACCTGTGATTCATATGACCTGAGATGATTAATAGGCGGAGCTCTTGGCCTCTTCGCTCCTTTCCATGCGTTCCGTCAGCAAGGTCGGTCTGTTCGATTGGATCCCGGACCTTCCTTCAACGTGCAGGCAGCTCCTTGTTCTCTGGTTGCTACGCTACATCTTTTCAGTCCTTGTTTTATTTGGATTGGAACAGCATCTCCTAGGAGATCAGAGTTGACCTCGCTCTCGCTAACCTTAAGAATTGGACTCTTTGGCCTGGTTTTCATAATCTGCCATAATCTCTTCGATCCCTATATTGAGTGCCATAATACAGAGATATGCTGTAAGGAAGTTCAAGGTAGTGGTCAACTTATTTGGAATAAAGGATTGGTGGCAGGAGTTATTCTTTTGAAAAGCCCAGTTCTCTTTGTCTTCGAGCTAGAATACTGAAATCTACTTATCTGTCATATACCTCCCCACCAATAGATGGAGACAAATGGGAATAACCGAACCACGTCTACAAAATGCCAGTACCATGCTGCTGCTTCAAAGCCAACGTGATGCTCCTTAGTAAGATGACCAAGATATTGGCGAATACCACATATGATTAAGAAAAGAGTACCTATAATAACATGAAAACCATGAAAGCCAGTTGCTAAGAAAAAGGTAGAACCATAAATACTATCAGAGATATTGGAGGGTGCTTGGTAATATTCCATTCCTTGAAAGCCTGTGGATACTAGAGCCAGTGAAACGGTAGCTACTAAAGCTAACACAGCTCGTTTTTCCTTCTTAGCGAGTATAGCATGATGAGCCCAAGTTACGGCAGCTCCGGATGAAGGGAGAATAGGGGTATTAAGAAAAGGTATTTCCCAAGGATCTAAAACCCCAATACCTTTAGGGGGCCAAATACCTCCGATCTCTACCGTGGGTGCCAAAGAAGAATGAGAAGAAGCCCAAAAAAAAGCAAAAAGGAACATAACCTCCGAGACTATAAACAGAATAGAACCATATCGAGGTCCTAATTGTACTGCTTTTGTATGATGTCCTTCTAAAGTGGATTCACGTAGAACATCGCGCCACCATACTAACATTGTATATAGTATAAAGATTAGGCCCAAACTGAGAAGTGTTGCTCCCCCTTGAAATGAGTGCATGTACATCACACCTCCTACGGTTGTTGCCAAAGCTCCGAGTGAACCCGAAATAGGCCATGGACTTGGATCTACCAAATGATAAGAATGCCTTTGAGATTCAATCATAAACCACTTTGCCCCGGTTGTATGTAAACCACCCTTCAAACCCCCACCCCCTAAAGTTGTAAAGAATGGGAATTTTCCTTCTATCTGACAGGCCAAACTCATAGGAAGGGATATGGTTCTTTCATGGAATTTATAGAAATGTTAGACTCTAACAAAGAAGGAAATCTCTATTACTCTTGATAAGAGTGGATTTGACCCACGAATTAAGTAGGAAAAGAAATAGATCTGAATTGATCATTGGTTTGCATTTCCTCACTGACGCATTGGCATCAGCTTCCTCTTACAATATTCCCTCTGAAATTCCTTGGCACGGAAGAAATGGTACTTTGCGCCTTATTTCAAAAGAGAGATCAAAGAAAGAAAAGAGGATAGGCCAGCCAGAGCTTTTGGATGTCCATTGTTTCCTTGCACGTGCCTTCCACTATGTCACAGATAAGAGAGTCCTCGTTAAGCTTAAAGGAAAGAAAAGCACCTTTTTCCCACGTAACGGTTAGGAGGTAATAAGATGGGCTTTGAATAGACAAGATTGTCTTAGAATAGACCATTATGCTTATTTGGGGTTAGATGGTCCTCGTCTGATGACGGCCAGATAACGGTTAGAGCGTTAAGCGCAGTATCTCTCGATAAGGGAGTTGTGTCCTCCATTGTTGACTTCCTCGCCAGACCCTTTGCTGGCTACAATCCTAATACTACCACACCAGCTTCTTTTTATCGAAGAAGTGAAAGAAAGTATCTATAAAGATAGATTGATTATGATCTTGATTATCTTTGTCTTGCTTGTAACCTGAAAGACTCAACGTGATGAGGAGATTCTAAGGGTTGTTGACCCGGGTTATCTTCCTCGCTCGCCTATGGCTTGCTAACTGCCTTCTTGATTCTGTGCTTCTAAACTTCCGGTTTCGTAACCTCCAGATAGAAAGAAAGAGAAAGAACCTATACATAGGTATAGATTGAAAACTCTAAGAATGGATTTGAGGAAATTGTTGCTATGATTCGCCTGTGAATAGTGCAATTCCTTGTAGTGATAGGTAATCCTACGTCGACTCCTGAGGTAAGACAGCCGGCTGATCGACAACGGGTACTATAACACTTTTGGATTTCCCGATCGACAACAGTACTATACATGGATTTCCCGAACTCATTTATTTAGATCTTTCTGGTCAGGTCGAGACACCGCTTCTGAATCTATTGATTCCCTATATGTAGCTGTTGCGCCATAGTTGATCCCAGTTGCCTTGTCTTTGACCCCCGACGCCCCTCTTGTTGCCCTCTTACAACGCTTACGGAAGTGAAGTAAGCTTTCCTGTCTCCCGTCTAAGGCAAGGCCGTACTCAATCATTTGACTCGTTTTGAACCTTCTGAATTTGCTTTAAGCGCATAAAGGGCTAAGGCACTATTTGGGCATTCTGAATTTGTTAGCAAGTAAGACAAGACCCTCTTGGAATAGGCTTCCACCGTAAAAGCCTAGGTAGCTAGTCTAAGAAAGAGAAAGAGGTCATCAAAGACGGAGTGTGTTAGGTAAGGGTAGGTTTCATCAAAAGAAGCAGGAGCTCGAAAGACGAAGTACGCTCGCTCATTCATCCCGTTATGGAAAGCAAGTAGATTTGATTAACCAGCTGCTACAGTACAAAGATTCAATGGAAGACTACAGGACTTTCTCATAACTCACTACCGTAGCTGCCCTGCCCATGGGTATGTGTTTGAATGAATTCTACTACAAGGTTAAGAAAGTGGAGTGCCAAAGGAAGCAGTTAGAGCAAACCAATAGTAATAGGTGGGGATCAAAAAGAAGCCCTAGATTAGTTGGCTATCAGTGCACTCTATAGTTCCTCGTGCAATCCCATCTCCAACTTAGACTGGTTTGCATAAGTCTATTGGGGCCAGACAATCTCCACTTCCTTTGTGAAGAGGAAAAGAAGGCTATTCCACGGGTGAGATCCGTTTTATCCGCCATCGATATCACAAAAACACTTGCAGAAGTGCTTTTTTGTTTCATTTCAGTAGAGTGGCAAGAGCTCGTAACCCAGAGGCATTCATATAAAGCGGACTTTGTTTGCTAGGCATGTAATATTAGATAAAGGCGCTTATCCGACTCCCTTCCAGAAGCTTTAGAAAGCCCTAGAAACTGTATGCGCTCCACTAGCTTAGTAATAAGGAAAACACAATATAGAAAGGTGTGGAAAGCAAACCGATTCAATTGAGAACATCAGCAAAGCGAGTTAGTTGGTGTATTTGGAATCCAGCAGTAGGATGAAAGTCTCCTAACTATGTAAAAGTAAGAGGCTGAAAAGAAAGAAGAGTATCCGTCAAAGGTTCAAAAGAAAGAAGAGTAACGTAGATCGCCGGACTTCTCTATTCTTTATGTGCCCACTCTCATTTGATTCCTTTAAAGCCTTGAAAGATGCGCGACTCTTGAGGCTGGCTCCCTTAGCCTGGGTATGTATCAAAAAGCACTTAGGTTGAGGCGCTTTTCCTATAAATAAACGTCTTAGGGTATGGAATCCCCACTAACTACTATACAAAAGATTCCTATAAGAAAGAAGATGGAGGGCGCTCACAAAGGTGAATGAACCAGTCTTTTGAATAGAATCATTCCATAGAAAGGCCTTTTCCGTAGAATCATTCCATAGAGTTTAATGTCATTTCGTCGGGTTCAAGGGGCCATAAATCAGAACGGTGCAGGGCTCATAAAGAAAACAGTCTAGAACGGTGCAGGGCTCATAAAGAAAACAGTCTCCTATGAGTTAGCTTGAGCCTATAGAGAGTGAGTTAGCTTGAGCCTATAGAGAGTGAGTTAGCTTGAGTCTATAGAGATATAGAGAGTGAGTTAGCTTCTTAATAAATCTTTCCATGCACGTAATACCTTTCGAAAGCCCGAAGACAAGTCGACTGAGCTACTTTCCCCTGGATCGGTATGGGATGCTGCGCCCTTATTTGGTTTAGAACCCATCCATGGCGTCGGATTGGAAACAGACAGTGCTGGCTAAGACCGAGTTGCCTTATTCTTTCTTTCTTCCTATGAGATCCAAATGTGCTCATCTGCTTATCCTGAAGCGGTAGTGCTAACTTAGCATTGAAGTGAGGGCACCTTCCCAGAGCCAGAGCTAATGCGCAACGTAAGCGCAACAAACAAGCAATAAGAAAGAAGCACATAAAGTATATGAAAGAGTTATGTTCTGAATTTCTATTATATGTGGTGTCAATCATGTTCTGAATTTCTATTATATGTGGTGTCAATCATAAGAATATTCAATTGCGTATAAGTTACATACTCCATAATTAATGAACCGAACTCACTCCTAAAGTCAGAAAATCATATAAGTTACATATTCGAATAATTGATTAAAGTAAAGTAACCGAACTCCTTAAGATAGAAGTCAGAAAATAATATATGCACATATTCTTTCAAAAGTAGAAAACACACACTGATTATTTGACTCTAAAGAAGGAATTGGACAAACATAGTTGTAAGGCGAGACCTGACCGTGGACCCTCGTCTCGTAATCGAGCTTATTTATGATTGTAAAGAACGCTCGCTCCGCCATAGTCATAACCCCGCGTTCCATAGCGTCGAAGATCCACCTGAAGCAATCACTTCTTGTCCTGCTGTGGTGTGGAAGCAGTGGCCGGAAGCTTTACAGTGGAGACAGCCCTATAGTAAGTTGCTGATTGAGGCAATGAGTATAGGATTAGACCCAATAAGCAATGGCCAAGGGAAAGGGAGTATTTTCAAAGCATTATTCACCAAGCAATTTCTAACCAGTTTCTCTAACAAGCATAACAGGCATACCGTTTTTCTCTTCCATGAGGAATGGTCGGGATTACAGTCTTTTGCGGAGTGAGGTAAAGCATCACATTTGACACCTCTATTATAGGTTTGGGATGCAACATCGCCCAGAGGTTACCCTTTATTGCTGGCTAGCTCTCAACTGACTTGTGATCCACAGTTTTCTTACCAGTGTAGGGAGTAGCTCCTTTAATATGGTACATTCTTGAATAAGTCAGCCTTACAAAGACAGAGGGAATAAGTCCGCCTTACAAAGAGAGAGCGTACTATGTGAAATGGCACGAGGAAAGGCACCGAGCTCACCAAACCATTTCTTTATACGGACTTTCTGCTTTAAGAAAAGTAAACAAGCTTCTAATTTGACTTTCAGAAAAGCAAAAGCAATACAATAGTCGTCTTCTAATAGAATGTAGTCTTATAATAGAATCGAATTGATAGTCAAGTCAAAAGGAAGAATGGATAGTCAAGTAAGTCAAAAGGAATTCCTTTGAAGGGCAGTATTCTATTATTGATTAAAAACACGGATTCATAACTCCTTACTGCGGACTCGCTCAATGTAAAAAGCTTTACTTCATATTGATCAAGCATTGGAGTTTAGGCCAGTGTCAAGTCAAGAGCAAGGGAAGGGGTCCAGTGTTCGAAGCTAAGTTTGGATAGTAGTAACGTGGGGAAGTAGGTGTTAGTGAAATTCCATGATTGAGTTTTTCATAGGAATACGAGTGGATGAAACCTACCTTTTCGTTTTTCATAGGAATACGAGTGGATGAAACCTACCTTTCTCTTTTTTTGACCCACCTTATCTTATGTGAGTGAAATTACAGTCTTTCGAACAAGTGCGTTAGCCATTACGGAAGCAACAAGCATTAGCGTTCAGTTCACCCCTAAGGCTTACTCTCGGGGTGCTAAGGGAAGTAAGTCAAATCAAGGGTGCCTCAATTCCACAAATGAATAAATAAGCAAGGGTCCGAAGGAGCTGTTGAATTGCGCGTTAGAGAACCTTTCCTCACCTTCTTACCCGGTTTGTGAGAGTTGACATGACAAGCACCTTTCCTTACTGCTGACCGCTTACGCCCGAAAACCTTACAAGTACAGGACCCCAACGACATAACTCCTAATTCTATGTCATTAGGGGGGAGTCGAATACAATGCAAGCAACGTTTCAACCAGTTCCCCGCTACGTGGGCTACGTTGAACAGAGGTCTCACTTATAGAATTCATTGCCTTATTTACTAAACCGAGAATAGCCTTATTGCCAGCCTTTAACCGAGAAAGCAAATTGGTATTAGCAAGAGCGAGACATAGTATGAGCAAGTCAAGATGTTAGTCTAAATCTGACATTCTACCCTTGGGAATGGAAGTCGATTCCTCTATCTTAAGAAGTGATTTCCTCCTAACCACTTATTGTCTGCTTTTTCTATTCAATGTTACGCCACTTCATTTTTGGATGCTCTTTTCTATTTGATAGGAAAGGAAGAAGACAAGAATCCAGAGTATAAGAAGGTGTCCTCCTCTTGGAATCCATCTTACATCATTATTATGGATTTGAAAGTGGCAAAGAAGGAAGCACTTATTATTCCAAGTTGCCAGGCCATGGAGATAGCAGCGCATGGGATCACTTTAGCCCCTGAAAGAGCATAAGAAACAAAATAGAGAAAGTGAGATCGTAGTAGGGCATTCACACGATTGAGCATCGTCAGCGTAGCGAAGAACCCTAACACCTGCGCTTGGCAAAAGAAGGAAAGGAATCAATCCAAATCCGTGAAATGCCACTGCCTTGAAGTATGCCCACCTCAACGCACTATAGTCCAAACTATCTTTCTGCTTTATTGGAATTTTGGGGATAGTTTATTAACGAATAAATAGGAGGAAATGGTTTGATTCTGAAGAGATGCCATTAGGCCGGCGTGAGGAAGATTGTTCCAAGATTGGATACATTGGAAGTCTATCAAGCTTAGTCCAGCCGCCTTTTTTCATGATTCAAATACCGTAGCGGGCGAAAACCCTACGCTATAAGACATTTCCTTATCTAAGGTACATGACAAAAGAAAGGTGCATGGCTCGTTTAAGTACCAAGATCAAGCCTTTGGGGGTCTGGTAAGAGGGCATAGTGCTTGTGCGCCTTGAGTCACTATGCCAACTCAAACAATTCAACGATCATTTCTAACTCACACCACAACTTCTTTAGCCTGTAACGAAGACAGCCGAGAACGAGAAATCCATCCTTCTTTCTTAGAAAAGCAATCCTTCTTTCTGGTTTGCAACTATCCACATCTATTTAGGGCTGGGCTGAGACCAAATACTAAGAAAGGTCCCCTAGTGCTAGTCTCAAGCGATGGGAATGGTGCTTTTTGAATGGAAAATACCGCGGTAGACTAGTGAACATGCTATGCACAAAGCTACTTTCGGACAGTCAAAGAGAAATGAGATTGTGACGCTCGCCTCCTCGACGGAAGATTCAAACGGAAACTCAAACCTCTTCCCCAATAATGACTTTTATGATACAATACCCTGATCCAGCTTAGGCTTCTATATCTAAGGATCTCAACTCTGTCGGCGTAGCTCCTGAAAACACTTGACAAAGAGCTGTAGGGACCCCTGGAATTTCTTCTGACTCCACTCACAACAAAACAAGGCTCAACTCACTACACACCAAGGAAATCAACAACTCATCTCGAATCGAATGCCCACTACACTACACTCCTCTCCGTAAGCGCTTAGCTTAATATACGTTGGGCTCGCTAACGGTAAGCCTTTAATCAAATCATCTTTATAGGCATTAATAACCCCTTATTGTGGATAAGTCCTTTTTTGAATACACAACTGACTTTCGCATTT